AGGAAAAACCTTAAAATGTGTTAAAATTTTAGAAATAGAAAAACAAAAAATTTTGAAAGACCATTTTAAAAGTGAAAAATTATAAATTTAGAATGTGATTAAAAAAAATTTGTTGGTGTTAAATTAAAGAAAAAGATTGAAAATAATATTAAAGTTAGAAAGTATAAATAATAATAGAAATAATAATAGAAAAATAGGAGCAGAAATGAACAAATATCTGTATCCATGAATGTACCCCAAAGAGGTTTGTGTTTCAGCACAGAATCATTTGAAACATCAGGTTCGTTCATCCAGCACTAATAGGCACAAAAAAATACAGATCATTAAACTTGAGTTTACCAGCAAATTATTCCAATCCACACCAATATGCTGAACTGAGAACATTTATGCTAACCTGGCGAAGGAAAAATTTATCAGATAAAGATATGGATCAGCAACCTCAAAAGCAAACCTGAGGCAAGCACATCAGCCAACATTTCCATTTCCTGAAATAAATTTAGCAATTATTCACTGAATTGCATTCGTTAGGTTACTATAAATGCTCGACAGTCCTGGTGTTACATGGGAGGCATTTAACTAGTCAATGAAAACTATATAGTCAACTTGAATTCTCTTACCAATATGAATACCAAATAAACAAAATGATAACGTTCTGTTTGGACAAAAAGACAGCACTTACATCTCTAAGGATAGCACAATCCAAATATGTCTTTGTATGAACATGACAATGTCAGCCTGAATAGTGCAGAGTGTTAGACCCTGAAAAGAACAGCCACTCAAATACTAGAGCTTTTTTAAGAAGAATACAGATTGTATACAATATGATGATCTATGTCGATGGGCATTCAGTTAAAAATATGAGGTCAAGTGCAAAGGGAGTCGAAAACTTTGATATGTAGTCTCATAGAGGAAATAAAATATACTTATAAATCAAATTCTTTCAAGGATGTGATTATTCAACAAAATAAAAATGGAACTTACAGAAAATGCATTGTATACAATCTGTAGTCTCAAAGAGGAAATAAATTATACTTATAAATCAAATTCTTCTAAGGATGTGAATTACTCAACAAAATAAAATGAAACTTACAGAAAATGCATTGTATACAATATGATGCTCCATGTCATTGAGCTCACCTGTCTCAAGGGAGGATGGCCTGTGAGAAGGAAAGCTGGCTTTCAGCAACTCTGATAGGTTGAAACTAATATGGACGTTTTTGAAGCAGTTAGCTCTTGCTCCAATTTATCAGGACCTATATATACTCACTGCTTGCATTTCTTCAGCCAATGCTTTCAATTGAATCTAGTTTTACAAAGTTAAATTAAATTAGATAAAAGAAGCAAACAAATGGACACCTTATCCATAGATTACATATATTGCTCGTTACAAAATTGCAGCACAGAAACATACCTTACAGGCAGCTTCTAAATGAACAAGGTATTTGTCAAAATCTAACTTTGCAATACATCTGGAAGGAGTTTTTTTGTTTTTGTTCCATGTCTGTCTCATGTCATTTCTCTTACCATGCTTCATAGACGGACAAAATCTAACTCTGCTACATATGCCATAGAAGACTTTAAAATAAATAATACAACACCATATTAACATCAAACTGACATCATATAGTATTCTTAAAAGTCCCAAAAGCGTCTATATCTCCCACATCTTATGTCTAGAATAGATTGATACATTCAGTCATGGCCTGCTCGCTCTTCCATGCTTCTTCATAACAAGGTTTTTAATATGCATATTTTATGTGTTTTGCATCATGTGAGATAGAAAAAAGTGAAAGATACTGTACCTGATTCAACTTTGGGATATTCCCACCTGTTTTGTTCTTTCAAAGAAGCAGAGCAAACCTCCCGTTTTGCTCTCTTTCTCGACCGATGTTCGAGTCCGAAAGAGTTGCTCATCAGGACTATTTGTTTGGGCATAGTTACTGGGAGACCATCAAACACCATGATTTCATTTCGCACAAATCCCAAACCTGAGAAAATCGTTGATAAGTAGGAGGGAAGTTGCCAAACAAACAAGAAGAAACAAGTGATAGTGAACATTGTCCGAATATACCTTCAGTGAACCATCAAAGCTTCTGAAGCATGGTGAAAACAAAAGCATGGTGATATCGTCCGAATGATTATTTTTACTTTTCAACGTGTATTTCAGGCCTGCTTCCCCATCCAGGACAGGATTAAGGGACCATATTTGTTAGAAACATATGATGTAATCAAGATGTTATCATTCTAAAACATAAATTATGTAAAATGAACATGCATGCAAAAAAAAAATACGTCTTTCATAATCACACCCAACTAAGACACCATTCTAACTCAAACAAATCCTTATAACCATCGAAACACAATAATTTGATTATATGAATGGAAGGAGAGAGACGGGAGAGGGAGAGAGTAGGGAGAAAGAAGGAGGGAGAGAGGCAGAAAGAGAGGGAGAAGGATAAGGAAAGAAAGGCGTGGGCAAGGAGGTAAAGAGAAAGGGAAGGGTGGAAGAGAGCTACTGGTATTCCATGCACAAACATAGTGGTTCTAAAACATAATTAGGTAAAATTTCCATGCATGCAAAATCAATTAGAAGTTTGAGAGCTTACCAAGGTCTGCAGATGAGGATCAAAACCAGGTTTTGGCCACAGAATTGTGAAAAAACCCTTGATCTGGATGATTGAAGGAAATATATCTCTTTGCGGCAACATAATCTACCACGTTCTAGTCGTCCTTAGAAGTTGGAATCCTAGATATTTAATGAAAGAATTGGAAATCATTAACATGTATGCATATTCATTGCTTTAGAAAGGATAACTAGCACCTATACTATACTCCAATTGATCCATATTTCCCTAGTTGGCTACTAGATATTTGAAATTTAACAATTTCTCAACAGGCCTTGAAATTTGATGGCGAGAATGTAGAAATGAAATTTTGTGGACATGCAATTTGGCGAGAAAAATAGTATTGAAAGTGGATATAGATAATTAGTATAATGACTCTTTTAAGTTTATAAATTCATTTCGTTCCTAAATCGATGTTTGAACAATAATACAATAAGAGAGTATAAAACTTCTTTTTCTTTGGGGAGGGGGAAAAAGTAACTTTGATACCTGAGTTAGTGCCACACCACTTTATAATTTAGTTGGTATGCAATGGCATGCTGGTAAATTTTGCTAATCCTATAAACAACAGAGAAAGAAAGGATTAGAGATGAATGTAAATGAAAAGTTAATTCCCAATCCAAAAAAGAAGGAAAGAAAATGCTAAATGAATACAGCAAAGAGTAACAGAAAGAATATAGCACACAGAATATAGCAAGGCTTCCCAAATGTTTCTAAAAACAAGCCAAAGTTCTTAAAATCAGGACACTTTCAAAAAAATACCTGCCAGAGCCCAGCCAAACTTGAGTTGCTCCACCTCCATCATATCGATAATGTAATTGATAGGTAATCTTCCTCATTTAGCTGGACAAATTTCCCAAAGATCGACTTCCTTATTTCTAGGTTCCATTCTGACCTGTTAAAAAAGTAAAGGAAAAATTAAGAGATGGTAGGAAGAAAATAAATAAAACTAAATCAACAAAGGATGATAGTAGTAAGAAAAACTACCTTATCAAATTTGACCATAAATATGGTAATTGGGATAAGTCTATCCATCTCAGCAGCAGA